AAGACAGAACAAGAGGTGGCATTAATAGGGTATTAATTTCATCAACACAAGACAGAACACGAAACAATGGGTATTGAATAGAAGTGTTTGTAGAAAGCCTATTGGTCCATATTTCTTGATGCTTCTATATTGGAGCGAAGTCTTGAGGTGGGTAGAATATAGTTGTGCAATAATTGGCTGTTGATTGCTGGTGTTGACTTCTTGATGTGTAGTGCCTCGCAAACGTCAAGCCGCCTGCTATCGCTGTATCTATCGATGATTTCTGTGTTGTTTAGTAGGATTTCTCTGGCGATGGTTTGGTTGTGGGAAGAGATTATATGTTCCTTAATGGAGCCCTGTTGCTTATGCAAATGAATTTGCAAAATTCAAAAAATGAATTTTGGACAATTGATTTTTGATTTACCTCCAACAGTGAAAAGAAATGTACGAAAGATTGAGAAAATTCGTGTTAGAATTATTAATCTTACTTTTTCGGTCATATTTAATAATATATATATATATATATATATATATATATATATTGTGGGAACCGACCTGTGAGATTTATATTTATTTAATTTATATGAATTTATATTTACGTTAATTTATATACTTCGATAGCAATTTGTATAATGATAAGTGGACTGTATTTCTGCAATAATCTCATAATCTCACAAATCGATCCTCTACACATTAGGGGGGGTTATTAAATTAATATATATATGCAGCCAATCAAACTACAGTATCTACATACATTGAAGAGGTTCCTTATCTTATAGTACAGCAGGCTAGTCCACCAGGTATAACTAGGGTGTAGACACCAAATTATCCTCTTTGAGGTAGCTTCCATATCACCCAGTAACTGGTGCACTAAATCTTGCTTCCTCGTCTTGACCTGTCAAAAGTGCGCTAGCTGTGAAGCCAGAATCCTATATATGACAAGTATTTCAGAGAAAACTGTACATGGAACATGAAGACCTGGCTTAATTACCTTTAGTTTGAGGCTTCCACGTGATCTAACCGGCTCACCCTATATCCTGACATTAATGGCCATAAATGAATGATAAACGGGTTTCGGATAGACACTTAACTTGAATTTGTAGACAGCGTGTTGACAATGGTACACCTTTGGTTTCCATAACACTACGTCCAAGTAAATTTAACAGGAGCCGAATTTGCTCCCGTGTGAGCCTCTGGTCTCAATAAACAATGGCTGTTTAACACTCCATACTATTGACGTTACTGGCCGACATTGTCCAGAATGATAGGAGCCGAATTTGCTCCACACGTCTCGGAGGTGACACAACAATGGCTGCCCTTCCTCACCCTCTGACGCCTGGCTTACATTGTCCACAATTCAGAAAGTGATAGAAGGGTCACATTTACTCTACTTTAATATTGATAATTAAGTTAATTTATATAAGATGTTTTTATGATGGTAAAGTCCAAAGACTAATGTATTTAAGAATAATTCCCAGCAGAATAGCTGGTGAATTATAATAGTATGTGGTGATGATATCCCGTTTTCTATAGACGGTAATTCCACTACAAGTTACGTTTTCTATGGGTAACTTGTTTATACAACACAGCTATTATCTGTATGATATATTAAATGGTGTCGGATTTTCCGACATAATTCCCCAGGGGCTGCTCACGGGTCGAAGTCCTATTTAGAACAGACGAACACCGATACTCCTCCTTCGAATTATTAGATTAATTTGATGTTAGTAGTTAGTAATCACACATTTATGTGTCTGTTCGTACAGGACGGATGTCCCGTACTAGAGTTGCAGGGGTTAAAAGTCTAATGCGATTTCATTTCCCTGTCAACTCTTGAAAGGCTAATATTCAAGCCTAATTACATATTATTTAACCCAGAAGACTGAATGTGATCAAGTACTACAGTCAAGTATGATTCAGGGACTGCAGTGAGATCAGTGACATTAGATATAACTTGAAGTTTCTTCAGGTAACTGGTCACTGATATATAAACACTGAGGCCCATGGAATACATCTTGATTAAATAATAAATGTATCAAATCAGTCATCAGATTTATTGGGGTTTAATTTAGTTAATTGATTCAGAAGATTGAATAGCTCATCATTAAAGTAAAGTATGGTTCTGAGACTGCAGTGGGTTCAGTGACATTGGTCGCAGTGACTTGTAGCTGTTTTAGGCTACTGTTCACTGATTTGCCACTGAGGCCTCATGAACTCATCTCCAGCTTTAAACGATGATACTAACATCAACCTCTGTTACTATAGTCAGCTGTAATCTCCTTAGTATAATGCTACTGGAGAAATATAATCAGCTGACAAATTTAGATTTCTATTGGTATTGTTTATCTGCAGGCATAGGTCTCCCCAGGCTTGATACTGGGCCTGAGAGTAATTTACCTCCTGCAGAGTTTAACATGGTTATACCCTGATATTTAGTAGGGCTACCAATGAATTGATGGTAGTAGTCTGTCCCCACAAGGACAGCCATTTGGCATTTGATTTGCTCAAATTTACCTGCAGCTGCTTGATAATAGCTTTCCAGGTCAGCATAATCAACTTGAGATTGTTGTGACAAATCTTCACATTTCTTGATCTGTCTTGTTAAGTGGCCTTTAAGACCTGCAAGGGTTCTTTTCATTCTCCCTTCATTATCCATACTGGCTCGTTGGTGAAGCCTTGTGGGGCTTGTACTTGGGCTGCTCATAATACTGAACAAGCACTGATGGTAGCCTAGGGTAAATTCTGCACTCACTAGGCAATAATCCTACCTCTACTAGAGGTTAGCACTTAAAATTAATACACATTATATATATACAATCATACACACTAATGATTTGAGTGATAAACCAGTGTCACTGGAAGTACCTTTAGGTTAGCTCTTCAATATCACCCTAGGATGGTAGAGACACTAATTAATCACTCAAAGGTGTAATGATCATAAGTAAATTATTATATATACAACTCAATTCGAGTTGATAAAAATTACACCCAAAATAGGGTCTGCACCATTCATTAATGGTGTTAGGTTAATCAATATAGTACAACTGACTATGGTAATAATGGGACTAGGATGAACGATAATAGTTCAACTAGTCATAATAATATCCTACCCTGTTGTGGGTTGGCAATTAGTAAATATTATATTGTGAACACTAGTGCAATATATATTAAATAATTCTCTATTTTGAAGAAATAATATACACAATTATTGATAATAGCCTCTTAATTAGCCTCTATGAAACTTCTAATATTATCTAGAAGTATTAAATATTATTAGTGACCTCGCGAAATAAACTCCACAAAATTCGTAGATAATCTCTCGCGAAATGTAACACCACGAAATCCGTGAACAATATCGCGAAGACACAGTCACTAATTTGGCTGGCTTCTATATTAGCGCTGTCATTTCACGAAATAACACGCCACCAAATATCTGTGGGTGTGCATGAAACCGCTGACGAAGCTGAACTGGGCTGAGGGAAGCTCCTGAGCTCCCACGAGGCTTCGCCGCTGTCTAGACTGGCTTTTGTTTAAATAACACTGCACTAGTATATTTAATGAATCCACTGGTTAACTGGTTCATCCGGTACTAAGATGACCAAATGTGGGTTCAAAGGATCAAATAATCCGTCATCCGGTTCGAAGATGACCAAATAATTCGGTTTCGAAGGACCAAATAATGTGGGAACCGACCTGTGAGATTTATATTTATTTAATTTATATGAATTTATATTTACGTTAATTTATATACTTCGATAGCAATTTGTATAATGATAAGTGGACTGTATTTCTGCAATAATCTCATAATCTCACAAATCGATCCTCTACACATTAGGGGGGGTTATTAAATTAATATATATATGCAGCCAATCAAACTACAGTATCTACATACATTGAAGAGGTTCCTTATCTTATAGTACAGCAGGCTAGTCCACCAGGTATAACTAGGGTGTAGACACCAAATTATCCTCTTTGAGGTAGCTTCCATATCACCCAGTAACTGGTGCACTAAATCTTGCTTCCTCGTCTTGACCTGTCAAAAGTGCGCTAGCTGTGAAGCCAGAATCCTATATATGACAAGTATTTCAGAGAAAACTGTACATGGAACATGAAGACCTGGCTTAATTACCTTTAGTTTGAGGCTTCCACGTGATCTAACCGGCTCACCCTATATCCTGACATTAATGGCCATAAATGAATGATAAACGGGTTTCGGATAGACACTTAACTTGAATTTGTAGACAGCGTGTTGACAATGGTACACCTTTGGTTTCCATAACACTACGTCCAAGTAAATTTAACAGGAGCCGAATTTGCTCCCGTGTGAGCCTCTGGTCTCAATAAACAATGGCTGTTTAACACTCCATACTATTGACGTTACTGGCCGACATTGTCCAGAATGATAGGAGCCGAATTTGCTCCACACGTCTCGGAGGTGACACAACAATGGCTGCCCTTCCTCACCCTCTGACGCCTGGCTTACATTGTCCACAATTCAGAAAGTGATAGAAGGGTCACATTTACTCTACTTTAATATTGATAATTAAGTTAATTTATATAAGATGTTTTTATGATGGTAAAGTCCAAAGACTAATGTATTTAAGAACAATTCCCAGCAGAATAGCTGGTGAATTATAATAGTATGTGGTGATGATATCCCGTTTTCTATAGACGGTAATTCCACTACAAGTTACGTTTTCTATGGGTAACTTGTTTATACAACACAGCTATTATCTGTATGATATATTAAATGGTGTCGGATTTTCCGACATATATATATATATATATATATATATATATATATATATATATATATATATATATATATATATATATATATATATATATATATATATATAACATAATTAACAACCCTTTCATATGTTTTTTTTATTAATTTCGTTAAGGTATTTAAAAGCCTAGAATGTCGTTGAAGAAACCCTTATCTCTTCATCTCATGAATAAAATAAACTGAAAATAATTTTTTGTTCGTTTGTTTAATTACATTGACGTTTTGGCAGATGTAAGGAAGACTGCAGCCATGAGTGTCCGCCCTGCCAGGACCAGTGTCCGCTACGGTGTGTACACAGCAGGTGTAGCAGCAGGTGTGGTAAGCCGTGCAAGCCTTGCCAGGTGTGTAGCCACATGACAACATAATCACAAGATTACAAAAGGAGAGTTAATGAAATATTTCCATTAAATATATTGAATAGACCTTCATTCTCATATTTTATAAGCTGCGTGCATATCCTCCAAAAAACCATAGACCCTCAGCTCCAATTAGATAGCAGTACAGATAACTGGCTAATCACAGAGCAGTTCCCACACCATGCAGGGATGGTGGAAAGTTCTAGGGTTCTTAAACAAGTTAGGGAGCGTCGAATGGCCTGGTGCTTGGTGGAGCTGACCTGGCCTGTACCTTCAGGCCGTCCCGTAAGGACTCAAGCGATGTAGCGCCTCTAGCTCTCCACCGTACAAAACTAACTCTCCTCACTCCTCTTACACAAGGGTCCCGGTAGTCAACCCGTCCTCGACTCAAGTCCATTACATTCAGCGGTCAACCCCACAGACGCATTCATAAATTTTAACATGCTGTTCATTCAAAACGGGAATTTTCTCAAGTATAAATTTATATTATAATACATTAACATATTGTGTATATATAGGCATAGGTTAGGTTAGGTGTTTAGGTTCTGTCGGCGATTATTTGTATTTGTAGTACGTGGGTGAAGCATTTATAGCGTTGTGATTCGAACAAAATTCGTCAGTGAAGCACTTGTTCCGGATATGTTCGAACGTCAGCAGTTGTGAGTCTTGTGTAAACCGCTTTTCATTCATAAACAGGGGGTTTGGTGGGTGGATGGAATCACTATAGGATCTTTGTTTGGAGGACGGGCTGCGGTAGTCAACCCATCCTCGACTCAAGTCCATTACATCCAGCGGTCGACCCCACAGACGCATTCATAAATTTTAACATGCTGTTCATTCAAAACGGGAATTTTCTCAAGTATAAATTAATATTATAATATATTAGCATATTGTGCATATATAGGCATAGGTTAGGTGTTTAGGTTCTGTTGGCGATTATTTGTATTTGTAGTACGTGGGTGAAGCATTTATAGCGTTGTGATTCGAACAAAATTCGTCAGTGAAGCACTTGTTCCGGATATGTTCGAACTTCAGCAGTTGTGAGTCGTGTGTAAATCGCTTTTCATTCATAAACAGGGGGTTTGGCGGGTGCATGGAATCACTTTTGGATCTTTGTTTGGAGGACGGGCTGTTTACAGCGTTGTGGTTCGAACAAAATTCGTCAGTGAAGCACTTGTTCCGGATATGTTCGAACTTCAGCAGTTGTGAGTCGTGTGTAAATCGCTTTTCATTCATAAACAGGGGGTTTGGCGGGTGCATGGAATCACTTTTGGATCTTTGTTTGGAGGACGGGCTGGACACAGGACTTTTGACTTTCGAACACTTGCGGAACAAGTGATTCACTGACGAATTTTGTTCGAACCACAACACTGTAAATGTTTCACCCACGTACTACAAATACAAATAATCGCCAACAGAACCTAAACACCTAACCTAAGCTATGCCTATATATACACAATATGCCAATATATTATAATATTAATTTATATTTGAGAAAATTCCCGTTTTGAATGAACAGCATGTAAACATTTATGAATATGTCTGTGGGGTCGACCGCTGGATGTAATGGACTTGAGTCGAGGACGGGTTGGGACAGAAATAGTTGACCGCACTTCCTATCACCTAATGCCGCTGTTCATCTGCCCGAAATGCTGTGTGTATTAGTGGCTCTAGGTATAGTATATATTAGCTCTATCTAGAAATCCAACATTCTGCTTGTAATTCATTTTGTATGTATGAACATTTACCTAAATAAAGAATTACTATTATTATAATTCTTTATTATTATTATAATTATTATTATAATTATTTATTTAATTATTTATTATCGAAATTATTTTTTTATTATAATAATTATTTTTTATTATACTGATTTAATAGTATTATACTTATTTATTATTAATTATTATTATTATTATTATTATTATCAGGGAAAATCCTGTTGAAACATCTCTCCCCTCCCACACATACACACCCTCCCCATCCCCCCCACCCCACACACCCTCACCATCCCCCCCACCCCACACACCCTCACCATCCCCCCCACCCCACACACCCTCACCATCCCCCCCACCCCACACACCCTCACCATCCCCACCACCCCACACACCCTCACCATCCCCCCCACCCCACACACCCTCACGACACAGGAAGACAGAAAAGTTAGGGGGAGACATGATCACTACTTAATAATAATAATAATAATAATAATAATAATAATAATAATAATAATATTTTATTTAGAAGTACATAGATGCAGAGTTACAAACATTCTGATTGATTTATAGATAGAGCTAGTACATACAATACCTAAAGCCACTAGTATGCATAGTATTTCGGGCAAATTATTATAAAACTTCCAACTTAACTCTCAACAACAACTCTCAAACTCTAAAACTTATAAAACTCTCAAAGGTATTGAAAGAGTAGATAAAGATAAACTGTTTAACGCTGGTGGTACGCGAAGAAAGGGACACAGGTGGACACTGAGTACCCAAATGAGCCACAGAGACAATAGAAAATATAGTTAGAGTAGTTAACAAATGGAATGTACTATGCCGTGATGTGGTGGAGGCACTCTCTCTATACACAGTTACAAATGTAGATATGATCTACATATCCAATTGGCGTATTAACTGTACGCCAGTTAGTTGATTGACAGTTGAGAGGCGGAATCAAAGATTCAGAGCTCAACCCCAGCAAGCACAACTAGGTGAGTACACCCTCCCCATCTTCCCTCCCCCCACACACACACACTCTCTCTCTCCTCACTTCTTCTCTCCCCCCACCCCACACACCTGCATAATGTTGTCCTTAATCATAATCTTCACTACTTCTCTACCAGTACCAGTTCACTGGCACTCTTACACAACCTCCTCCTAAATATTAATTTGATGTTTCAACTTGAGGAAATAGACTCGACTCTTTATCATTTCCCCACACACAGCACTAGCGTCCTCTAGTGGCGAAACTTGCAGAACAAAATTCCCCCAGCATGTTTTATGATAATTATTATATAGATGTATATTTCCGCGTTCAGGAGAGATGCCTAAGGAAGTGTGAACATCAGGAGTGCGGAAATCTTTGTGGGGAGAAGTGTTCAATTAGCCCATGCAAGGAAGCTTGTCCTAAGAGGCTGGAATGTGACCATCCTTGCGTTGGGTTCTGTGGCGAGCCTTGCCCACCTCTGTGTCGCACCTGCAACAATGAACAGCTTACTGAGATATTATTTGGCTTTGAAGACGAGGAAAATGCAAGGTAAGGGAGAAAATTATTTTATATTGACAACATGAATTTTTTGCTTTGTAAAATTGGAAATTTGAATTTTATGATGAAAATCATATATTGGAAATTTTGAAGATGTGTATCTTAACACTTATTACAATTTTCATCATACTAGGTGGGATGACCGAGGGAGCCTGAGATAGCCTGGGCATTGTCTGCCTTCCTGTTTCGTTATGTTTTCTCTCTCTCTCTCTCTCTCTCTCTCTCTCTCTCTCTCTCTCTCTCTCTCTCTCTCTCTCTCTCTCTCTCTCTCTCTCTCTCTCTCTCTCTCTCTCTCTCTCTCTCTCTCTCTCTCTCTCTCTCTCTCTCTCTCTCTCTCTCTCTCTCTCTCTCTCACTCTCCCCTCCCTCTCTCCCCCAGTTGGTACAAGACGCCTGTCTACCCTTCACTCAGTTTTATGGCAGTTAAATAAACGTTTAATCGTTAAATCAACGTTATGTATGTTGACTTAACGTTACGTCGTTGAATCAACATCAGCGATGATGAATCTCCATTAGCGATGATAAATCAACGTTATCGACGTTGAATCAGATTTATCGACGTTAATCAATGTTTTCGATTATTTTTTTTCTGAAGAGAGGTATGAGGCTCAAATCCACAAGGGCCGTGATGAGGGTTCGAATCTACGTCTGGGATGATCTCACACGCCCCTTAGCCGACTGCGCCACGACATGGTAAAAGTATTGCAACCTTTAGTGCTACTGGGAGCCGGTCGGCCGAGCGGACAGCACGCTGGACTTGTGATCCTGTGGTCCTGGGTTCGATCCCAGGCGCCGGCGAGAAACATTGGGCAGAGTTTCTTTCACCCTATGCCCCTGTTACCTAGCAGTAAAATAGGTACCTGGGTGTTAGTCAGCTGTCACGGGCTGCTTCCTGGGTTGGAGGCCTGGTCGAGGACCGGGCCGCGGGGACACTAAAAAGCCCCGAAATCATCTCAAGATAACCTCAAGATACTTAGTCACGCTGTCGACTAAGGTGCGTCTGGGACCATCCCGGACATAGGTTCGAATCCTCATTACGGCCCTTGTGGATTTGTTCATTTGATGCATCATGCTATTGTGATTTCTGTGTGCATGAGGTTCTACTCTAACTGCTCTCTGACACGGGACATACCATTACACATCATCCGGGAGAGTTTGGTGAAACTGGTCCCAAGCGTCTGGGCCTCAACCTCGAACTCTCGCACATATATTCTCTCCTAAAGATGTAGATGTAAAGATTTGTTCTCCTGTCTTAATCCAAGTCTAGGTATTGTGTATATTACTGGCACAGGTTCGTGTGGCTGGAGGACTGTGGGCACACCATAGAGGCTGAGGGCCTGGAGGCCTGGCTCTCTCAAGAAGGGGGAGAGGTGGGCATGAAGATGTGTCCTCGCTGCAAGAAACCCATATATAATAATCGTCGCTTCTATGAATACTTACTAAAGGCTTATGAAGATGTTGAAGCAGTCAAGCTCATGTACTTCAAGAAGAAGACGCACGTTAATAAGGAGGATATTCTGAGGCTGTTAGAAGGTAGATATTGCTTCTATATTTTGGTATGTTGGTATACTTTGCATGATGAGAGTGGAGCTGCGCACGGTGTCAACTAACACAGCAATAGTCTTTTGATCAGTCTGGTGTGTGAGGTGTGGCAATGTCCACATTACCAACAATTATGCTCAACTTAGAGAAGGAAGGAAGGATGAGACAAGACCTGAGACTGCTGGGATTGTGAGGAAAGCTGACAATAAAAGAAAGAGAAGGATATGTATCACAATACCAAGAGTTGGCATGAGGGCAAGGAAGAGGATGGTACATCCTTCCCAAATAGGGAATTGACAGGGTAACAGAATGATGATTTCCAGTCTCTGTTGCTGAACCTGTTTATAGAAGATTGTAGAACCCCGAAAGTTTTATATAATTAATTATTGGATTGCCGTTTAGGGCTCAGAAGGCGATAACTGTGAGACTCATTCATACTGTTGTCTTATTGTAACTGTTATTGTGATGGAAGAGAAAGACTTTTCTTGTCTTAAAGATATTAAATTTTCTCAACGGTAAACCTTATAAAGCATATGTATGCATTGCGACGTGTTGAAGGTAGCGCAGCAAATACTGCAGCTGTAGTTTGCCTTACGCACATTAAATAACGAAAAAAATGAAATAAAACTGGTAAAGTCCTTTGCGGTGTGATAGTTGCATGAGTAAACAAACATAAATAATTAAATTCTTTACTTATAATAATAAACATAACAAAATAATAACTGCTGAAAATTTGGCTTACACAAAAAAATAAACAAACTTAATATTTACCTTACTTTAGAAAAAACAACAAGGGTGACTATACACTATGTACAATAGGCTGCACATCCACCGTAACACGTCGTAGCAAGACCACATCGAGTGAAGGAGGAGACGTGTAGAACCCGAGAGAGCACCAAGGGTAATCTGCCTGCTGGGTGGTTGTTTGTTGTTGTTTTAGATTTAGCTACTGAGAATGAAAAGTCCATGTAACACGGGCTATAGTGAGCCCGTAATTGAGTTTGGTTATTCGCGATAACGTTGTTTCTGTGATATTTGGGTCAAAGTTTTAAGTGGAGGTGGGCTTTCCTCCTCTTTCCCTGTTTCTTTTTCGCTTCTGTTTTAATGCACTGGTTTTAGTCTTGTTTTAATAACATTATCTTGGTGGTGGATGTAGATGCAGAATGTTCACTAGTGAGTCCCATTCTTCAACTGCTTTTCTAATCATTGTAGTCACTGTGCAATTTGCATCTAATGCAGCTGCTGTCGTTGGATTAATGTTGAGTTTGATGCACAGGGCTTCATTCGCTTCACATTGCAGTAAGTAATGCAATAGTGGCGCCTCTGCTTCTGTTCCACAGATATGACACTCTTTAACTATTGGGTTTATTACTCCCAGCAGCACTTGTAACCAACTCTGTGTCTGTCTACTGTAATGTCTCTGGATGTCCTTTTGCCAGGTTTGAAAGAGTAGTACCTAGTGGCTTGTTCGTACTCCATCGCAGTGGATCTTCCGTCCTCTACTTGCTCTGTGGCAACTTTTAATAGTTGGGAGTATTTTCTTCTTGATTTGTTCCTTAATCTGAGAAAAACTTGGAGGTATTTTAACCTTTACAATAGGTAGATCAGTGGCAGTTTTTGCTAGTGAGTTTGCCTTTTTATTACCATCTATACCAATGTGACCTGATGTCCAATTTAGGGTGATTGACAGCCCTAGATTGTGTGCTTCATTTCCTATATGTAGGGTTTGTGATGAGTTGTATATTATCTCTGTGCTGGAATTGGCTGGTTGACTGGCGCCAGGTTAGGGTGTGTCTACATGCCCCGCTTCCAGTGTTGCCTTGGCTATCAGAGAGATCGTTCCGGAGGTGCGGCCCTCCGTTCGTTTGTTTGGCGGTATGGGGCAGCCTCTTTCCTCTATTCGCCGTTCGGAAACGATTGGCTTGGAGTTCTCTGACAGGGCGTCATACCTAGCCATGGAAGTCGTTCTTTGGGATATGTTCCGCGTTCAGGTAGCTGATGTGTTTGGTGTACAACTCCTCACGAACCACCTGGCGTTCGTTAAGTTCCGTGCCCCGGCTGTTTATAAAGACTTTGTGGCTCGTTATGATAGGCGTTCGTTTACCCTCCCTGTTGACAGTGGTACCATCTCTGTCTCAGACTGCTGCTCCTCAATCACATATGTTGCACTGCATGGGGTCCCTTTTGAGTTCTCAGCAGATATTTTTCAGTTCAGCAATATTTTGGAAAATATGAGACCGTGGTGTCACTCCGGTTGAATTCCATGTCTTCCGGCAGGTGGAGGGGGGGAGGGGTTCTCGAGCGGTATCAGGATCCTCGCCCTGCGTCTTCAAGTTTCCTGTTCCATCACTGTCACGTTAATGGGCTACACCATGAGCGCCTTCTATGCAGGGCAGCCCAGGACATGTTTTTGGTGTGGACTTGAGGGGCACCAGGCGGCGGCCTGCACTGCTCTGGCGGGTGCGCCAGTGAATTTGTTTCGGGAAGAGGATTTTTTCCCCGTTGGTGGCTCCGGATCTGTCGCCTTGTGATGGTGTGGTGGGGGAGGCTTCCCTACCGTCTACTGCCCCAGTGGTGTTACTGGGTTCCTCGGCTTGTGTGCCCCTGCATACGGTTGGTGGTGTGAGTGAAGGGGTAGTGGTGTGTGAGGACCCACTCCCGCAGTTGACTTCCTCACCTCCGCCGGCTCCTTCACCTCCGCAGGCTCCCTCACATCCGCCGGCTCCTTCTCCTCTGCTGGATCCCGCGTCTCCGCAGGCTCTCTCACCTGTGCTGGCCCCTTCACTTCCACCAGCTCTGTCTGCCCTGTTTCCAATTCCAGTGTCACCTGTGGGGTGTGGCCTTGTGCCCCCTGTCGTCGAGGCTGCTGTGCTTCGGGGTCGCGCTTTTCCCCGCCGTGGGGCGGCCGGCCGAGGGCTCTTCTCGGGAGCCTCCTGCTGGTGGCGACAATTCTGACTATCAGCGACCTGTGTCGAAGCGTTCTCGGACGGCTAGGAGTGTGTCGCCCCCTCGTGAGTGGGCTGCAGAATGTGATGTTGAAGACTCAGAAGGTTCTTCCTCTGTGGAGTGCAAGGATGGTGTGCAGTAGGCTGGTATGGTTCCAGCAGGTGGTGTAGACCCTGTTGTAGGGGTGGGGGCTGGTGCGGGGACCTTGGTTCCTGTTTCAGCGGCCTCGCCCGCGTCCGTTTGTTCCAGTTCCCTGTGGGGGGTTGTCCTCCCTGCCGAGGATGTTGGTAAGCATAGTGGGTTGGTGTTGGTCCTGGAGAAGGATGCTCGCCCGGTGGGTTCCGTGGCCCCGCCTCCTGCTCCATCGGCGGCGGTATTGCCGCCTCTCCAGCCTCAGCCTTCGTCTTCGATGTCCTCTGCTCGGGTGAAACCGCCTCCGCCCCTGTTTCCGCCTGACATAGTGGTTCTGGAGTTCATGATGCGCCCGCGGCGTTGTGGGAATGTCCACCCTTCCGAACGGGAATTACATTCTTTTTTAATTTAAATTTTGCCCCGAGGGTCGAGTTTATTGGGTAGCGCCACTCATTTTGTGAGTGGACATACCGCCATAGCAGCATGTACATCATTCCCCAAAAGGAAGAAAACCAGCTGGGTTTTTCATCCTGTCACTTGTACCCAGACACAGCTGGGACCTGCTTAACTGTCTCAAGCGAACAGCTCCTCAAACAAGAAGATTAACATCTGTCAGCTCTTAAAAGCTTACGTTATCTTGCGGGTGCAAAATGGGGGAATCTTTTAATAACATTATCAATATTTGACAAATAGTGTTTTCCTAACTCAAACAGTATGGGGTTTATTATTCTACACATATTACTAATGTCTCTCAGATGTTTTAAAAACTACGGGCTAATCATAGCCTGTACTACTTGGAACATTTTGTTCCAAGTAGCGAATCTTTAACAACATCAGGTGTTAACATTCACGTAGATAGTGGTCGTCACTCTCATCACAGATTCTGCAACTTCGCTGATCAACTGTTGTTTCCATTCCGCATCTCCATGGATATTTGTATCCAAGACTGATTCTCGCTATTACTGATTCTCTCCGGCGTCCTCCTCCTCCTCTTCGCCCATAATGATTGGGATTGCCAGCTGCAACCATATTGTACCACTGTACAGATTCACTGGTTTGTGCTTCTATCCTTCTTTCCACACCTTTCCACAGTTACCTTGTCACGGTGGTGTTGTCTGACAATACTTCTAATTTGTAGTAGAGTCTTGGGTATGAAGTATTCAATATGGTCTCCTTCAGCGCCTTTCAGCAGCCAGCACATCTGCTCGTTCATTCCCACATATTCCAACATGGGAGGGGATCCACAGAAACTTGACTCTTCCCTGATTGGTAAGTGCTCTCACAGCTCTCTTGATTTCAGCGACTATTGCAAGATTTTCTGCCCGATTTTTACTTATGCTTTGCAGTGCTGGTTTTGAATCAGTGCAGATCACTGCAACATTAGTGTTCCGTTCGGGAGTTGTTAACTTGGAATGCGTACGTTATAATGTATCCGAAGGCTGATTACCCTGAGAAGTATGAGGATTCTTATTAATATTGACTTTGTTCCTGTTGTACCCGTTTCCTATGTGTTTCGGTATTATTTTTATGTATGGTAGAGGGGGGTTGGTGGTTGCGTGTGTGTGGTTAGGGTTTTTGTCCCCCGGTTCCTGCGTGTTCCGGTGTTTCTGCTTGTGGGTTTGGGTGAGTGGATGTGGTTTGTTTTTCCGGTTCCTGCGCGTTCCGGTGTTTGTTCTGGTGTTTGTTCTGGTGTGTGTCTGTGTGTGGCTGTGGGGTTTCTTATTTACTGTGTCATGCATTTTCTCCTTGTATTTCTTGTGGTTTATTTTATGTATAAAGTTCTGTTTTTTCCTTATATGCACTTGGCGAAGCCAGGTGTATATAAGCCGGCGAAGTAATGGATAGTTAGCATGTTGGACAGGTCACCGGCGCACACTTGGCGTGTGGAGCTCTCACGGGCAGGGTAGGGGGTCCGTGGTGGAGCTCTCACGGGCAGGGTGGGGGGGGGGGTCCGTGGTGGAGCTCTCACGGGCAGGGTGGGGGGGGGGGTCCGTGGTGGAGCTCTCACGGGCAGGGTAGGGGGTCCGTGGTGGAGCTCTCACGGGCAGGGTAGGGGGTCCGTGGTGGAGCTCTTACTGGCAGGGTAGGGGGTCCGTGGTGGAGCTCTCACGGGCAGGGTAGGGGGTCCGTGGTGGAGCTCTCACGAGCAGGGTGGGGGGGGTCCGTGGTGGAGCTCTCACGGGCAGGGAAGGGGGTCCGTGGTGGAGCTCTCACGGGCAGGGAAGGTGGTCCGTGGTGGAGCTCTCACGGGCAGGGTAGGGGGTCCGTGGTGGAGCTCTCACGGGCAGGGTGGGGGGGGTCCGTGGTGGAGCTCTCACGGGCAGGGTAGGGGGTCCGTGGTGGAGCTCTCACGGACAGGGTGGGGGGGGGTCCGTGGTGGAGCTCTCACGGGCAGGGTAGGGGGTCCGTGGTGGAGCTCTCACGGGCAGGGTGGGGGGGGGGGTCCGTGGCGGAGCTCTCCAGACGTCTGGTTGGAGGTTTTGATGTTGTAGAGGGTGTATCGTAGCATGATGGTGTTGAGAGCAGGAGGAGGAGGCAACGTTCCACTGTTATTCAGGGAACTATGTAACATGCATATTTCTATAACAGAATTTAGGTCCTTTTCCAGTAATTTCAAGTCTTCTGTAAACTTGGTGTTGATGCAAGACTCTCCAGTATCCTCTACACTGATGAATATTATAAACATCACAGAAGCCGCTGCACGCCATTAACGACATTAGTCCACTCCGTCTAAAGTCCATCTTTATTATTAATCTGTTTTCTGACTTTCAATATTTGCTCTATTTCCATATACTATTTTTCCGGTGAGGTCACGTCCCTCAACATTCCTAAACACCCTTGCATTCGGAGCCGTGTCAAAAGTCACGTTAAAATCCCGATAAACATCATATTTTTTCCTATTCATAACTGCCTTAAATACCCTTGAATTAGTGGTAGTAAATTAGTAAAATATTACGACCCCTTTTAATCCCCTGTTGGGAGATTCCTATTGACCTGTATTTAATTAGTCGACTTTTCATATTATTTTTAAACTCTCCTTTCCGAAATATTCCACTGTCAATTCCAGATCTATTGGTAGGTAGCAGCCCGCAGCCAGAGTTCTATACTGAGGCCACTGATACTGAGGCCACTGATACTGGGGGCCACTGATACTGGGGGCCACTGATACTGGGGGCCACTGATACTGGGGGCCACTGATACTGAGGCCACTGATACTGGGGGCCACTGATACTGGGGGCCACTGATACTGGGGGCCACTGATACTGGGGGCCACTGATACTGGGGGCCACTGATACTGAGGCCACTGATACTGGGGGCCACTGATACTGGGGGCCACTGATACTGAGGCCACTGATACTGGGGGCCACTGATACTGAGGCCACTGATACTGGGGGCCACTGATACTGGGGGCCACTGATACTGGGGGCCGCTGATACTGGGGGCCACTGATACTGAGGCCACTGATACTGGGGGCCACTGATACTGGGGGCCACTGATACTGAGGCCACAGATACTGAGGCCACTGATACTGGGGGCCACTGATACTGGGGGCCACTGATACTGAGGCCACTGATACTGGGGGCCACTGATACTGGGGGCCACTGATACTGGGGGCCGCTGATACTGAGGCCACTGATACTGGGGGCCACTGATACTGGGGGCCACTGATACTGAGGCCACTGATACTGAGGCCACTGATACTGGGGGCCACTGATACTGGAGGCCACTGATACTGAGGCCACTGATACTGGGGCCACTGATACTGGGGGCCACTGATACTGGGGGCCACTGATACTGAGGCCACTGATACTGAGGCCACTGATACTGGGGGCCACTGATACTGGGGGCCACTGATACTGAAGCAACTGATACTAGGGGGCCACTGATACTGAGGCCACTGATACTGGGGGCCACTGATACTGAGGCAACTGATACTAGGGGCCACTGATACTGAGGCCACGGATACTGGGGGCCACTGATACTGGGAGCCACTGATACTGAGGCCACTGATACTGGGGGCCACTGATTCTGGGGGCCACTGATACTGGGGGCCACTGATACTAAGGCCACTGATACTGGGGGCCACTGATACTGGGGGCCACTGATACTGAGGCCACTGATACTGAGGCTACTGATACTAGGGGCCACTGATACTGAGGCTACTGATACTGGGGGCCACTGATACTGAGGCCCCTGACACTCGGCTTCCGACACTGAGGCCCCTGACACTGAGGCCCCTGACACTGAGGCCCCTGACACTGAGGCTACTGACAATGGGGTTACTGACACTGGGGCTACTGACACTGAGGCCCCTGACACTGAGGCCTCTGACACTGAGGCTACTGACAATGGGGTTACTGACACTGAGGCCCCTGACACTGAGGCCCCTAACACTGAGACCCCTGACACTGGGGCTACTGACACTGGCGCTACTGACACTGGGGCCCCTAACACTGAGGCTACTAACACTGGGGCTACTGACACTGAGGCCCCTGACACTGGGGCTACTGACATTGAGGCCCCTGACACTAGGGCTACTGACACTGGTGCTACTGACACTGAGGCCCCTGACACTGGGGCTACTGACAATGGTACTACTGACACTGAGGCCCCTGACACTGGGGCTACTGACACTGGTACTACTGACACTGAGGCCCCTGACACTGGGGTTACTGACGCTGAGGCCCCTGACACTGAGGCTACTGACACTGGTGCTACTGACACTGAGGCCCCTGACACTGAGGCCCCTGACACTGAGGCTACTGACACTGGTGCTACTGACACTGAGGCCCCTGACACTGGGGCTACTGACACTGAGGCCCCTGACACTGGGGCTACTGACACTGAGACCCCTGACAATGGGGCTACTGACACTGAGGCCCCCTGGCACTGGGGCTACTGACACTGAGGCCCCCTGGCACTGGGGCTACTGACACTGAGGCCGCTGACACTGAGGCCCCTGACACTGAGGCCCCTGACACTGAGGCCCTTGACACTGGAGCTATTGACACTGAGGCCCCTGACACTGGGGCTACTCCCGCCAAACACACACCGAAACTACGACGTTGGTACAACGTTCGAACAAGTTTTAACACCTCCTAACCAGTTATAACAACCAATATAGCAAGTTGTAACAACGTTTTAATACGTCATAAACACGTTAAGCCAAGATGTAACAACTTTATTACAAGTTGTAACAAGCGGAAAATAGAGACAGTTTCGGTTTGTGTTTCCAGGGCTGACACTGGGGCTACTGACACTGAAGCCCCTGACACTGAAGCCCCTGACACTGAGGCCTCTAACACTGAGGCCCCTGACACTGAGGCCCCTGACACTGTAACCACTGACACTGAAGCCCCTGACACTGAAGCCCCTGACACTGAGGCCTCTAACACTGAGGCCCCTGACACTGAGGCCCCTGACACTGCGGCTACTGATACTGGGGTTACTGACACTGAGGCTACTGACACTGGGGCTACTGACACTGAGGCCCCTGACACTGAGGCTACTGACACTGGGGCTACTGACACTGAGGGCCCCTGACACTGAGGCCCCTGACACTGCGGCTACTGATACTGGGGTTACTGACACTGAGGCTACTGACACTGGGGCTACTGACACTGAGGCCCCTGACACTGAGGCTACTGACACTGGGGCTACTGACACTGAGGTTACTGACACTGGGGCCACTGACACTGAGGCCCCTGACACTGAGGCTGCTGACACTGGGGTTACTGACACTGGGGCTACTGACACTGGGGCTACTGACACTGAGGCCCCTGGCACTGGGGCCCCTGACACTGTTGCTACTAACACCGAGGCCACTGACACTGAGGCCCTTGACACTAAGGCCCTGACACTGTGGCCCCTGACACTGAGGCAACTGACACTGAGCCCCCTGAAACTGAGGCCCCTGAAACTGAGGCCCCTGACACTGGGGCCCCTGACACTGAAGCCCCTGACACTGGGGCCCCTGACACTGGGGCCACTGACACTGAGGACCCTGACACTAAGGCCCCTGACACTGGAGCTACTGACACTGGGGCTACTGACACTGAGGTTACCGACACTGGGCTACTGACATTGAGGCCCCTGACACTGAGGCTACTGACACTGGGGTTACTGACACTGGGGCTACTGACACTGGGGCTACTGACACTGAGGCCCCTGACACTGGGGCTACTAACACTGGGGATACTGACACTGAGGCCACTGACACTGAGGCCCCTGACACTAAGGCCCCTGACACTGAGGCCCCTGACACTGAGGCAACTGACACTGAGGCCCCTGAAACTGAGGCCCCTGACACTGAGGCCCCTGACACTGAGGCCCCTGACACTGGGGCCCCTGACACTGAAGCCCCTGACACTGAAGCCCCTGACACTGCGGCCCCTGACACTGAAGCCCCTGACACTGAGGCCCCTGACACTGTGGCCACTGACACTGAAGCCCCTGACTCTGAGGGCCCTGACACTGAGGCCTCTAACACAGAGGCCCCTGACACTGAGGCCCCTGACACTGAGGCCCCTGACACTGAGGCTCCTGACACTGAGGCCCCTGACACTGAGGCCCCTAACACTGAGGCTACTGACACTGAGGCCACTGACACTGAAGCCCCTGACACTGAGGGCCCCTGACACCGAGGCCACTGACACTGAGGCCCCTGACACTGAGGCCCCTGACACTGATGCCCCTGACACTGAGGCTCCTGACACTGAGGCCCCTAACACTGAAGCCCCTAACACTGAGGCCCCTGACACTGGGGCCACTGACACTGAGGCCCCTGACACTGAGGCCCCTGACACTGAAACTACTGACACTGAAGCCCCTAAAACTGAGGCCACTGACACTGAGGCCCCTGACACTGGGGCCCCTGACACTGAGGCTACTGACACTGGAGCTACTGACATTGGGGCCACTGACACTGAGCCTACTGACACTGGGGCTACTGACACTGGGGCCCCTGACACTGAGGCTACTGACACTGGAGCTACTGACACTGAGGCCACTGACACTGAGGCCCCTGACACTAAGGCCCCTGAAACTGAGGCTACTGACATTGAGGCTACTGACACTGAGGCCCCTGACACTGGGGCCCCTTGCTGACACTGAGGCCCCTGACACTGAGGCTCCTGACATTGGGGCCCCTGACACTGGGGCCCCTGACACTGGGGCCCCTGACACTGAGGCTACTGACACTGAGGCCACTGACACTGAGGCCCCTGACACTGAGGCCCCTGACACTGAGGCTACTGACACTGGAGCTACTGACACTGAGACCCCTGACACTGGAGCTACTGACACTGAGGCCTCTGACACTGAGGCTACTGACACTGAGGCTACTGACACTGACACTGGGGCCACTGACACTGAGGCCCCTGACACTGAGGCTACTGACACTGGAGCTACTGACACTGGGGCCACTGACACTGAGGCTACTGTCACTGGGGCTACTGACACTGGGGCCCCTGACACTGAGGCTACTGACACTGGAGCTACTGACACTGGGGCCCGTGACACTGAGGCTACTGACACTGGAGCTACTGACACTGAGGCCACTGACACTGAGACCCCTGACACTGAGGCCCCTGACACTGAGGCTACTGACACTGAGGCTCCTGACACTGGGGCCCCTGACACTGAGGCCCCTGACACTGAGGCCCCTGACACTGGGGCCCCTGACACTGAGGCCCCTGACACTGAGGCCACTGACACTGAGGCCCCTGACACTGAGGCTACTGACACTGAGGCCCCTGACACTGAGGCCCCTGACACTGGGGCCACTGACACTGAGGCCCCTGACACTGAGGCCCCTGACACTTAGGCCCCTAACACTGAGGCCCCTGACACTGGGGCCCCTGACACTGAGGCCCCTGACACTGAGGCTACTGACACTGGGGCCCCTGACACTGAGGCCCCTGACACTGAAGCCCCTGACACTGAGGCCACTGACACTGAGGCCCCTGACACTGAGGCTACTGACACTGGGGCCACTGACACTTGGGCCCCTGACACTGAGGCGCCTGACACTGAGACCCCCTGATACTGAGGCCCCTGACACTGAGGCCACTGACACTGTGGCCCCTGACACTGAGGCCCCTAGCTGACACTGAGGCTACTGACACTGAGGCCTTGACACTGAGGCCACTAACACTGAGGCCCCTGACACTGAGGCTACTGACACTGAGGCCACTGACACTGAGGCCCCTGACACTGAGGCCCCTGACACTGAGGCTACTGACACTGGAGCTACTGACACTGGGGCCACTGACACTGAGGCCCCTGACACTGAAGCTACTGACACTGAGGCTACTGACACTGGGGCTACTGACACTGAGGCCACTGACACTGGGCCCACTGACACTGAGGCCCCTGACACTGAGGCTACTGACACTGAGGCTACTGACACTGAGGCTACTGACACTGGAGCTACTGACACTGGAGCTACTGACACTGGGGCCCGTGACACTGAGGCTACTGACACTGAGGCTACTGACACTGAGGCTACTGACACTGGAGCTACTGACACTGGAGCTACTGACACTGGGGCCACTGACATTGAGGCTACTGACACTGGGGCTACTGACACTGGGGCCACTGACACTGAGGCCCCTGACACTGAGGCTACTGACACTGGAGCTACTGACACTGGGGCCCGTGACACTGAGGCTACTGACACTGGGGCTACTGACACTGAGGCCACTGGCACTGGGGCCACTGACACTGAGGCCCCTGACACTGAGGCCCCTGACACTGAGGCTACTGACACTGGGGCTACTGACACTGGGGCCACTGACACTGAGGCCCCTGACACTGAGGCTACTGACACTGGAGCTACTGACACTGGGGCCCGTGACACTGAGGCTACTGACACTGGAGCTACTGACACTGAGGCCACTGACACTGGGGCCCCTGACACTGAGGCCCCTGAAACTGAGGCTACTGACACTGAGGCTACTGACACTGAGGCCCCTGACACTGGGGCCACTGACACTGAGGCCCCTGACACTGAGGCCCCTGACACTTAGGCCCCTAACACTGAGGCCCCTGACACTGGGGCCCCTGACACTGAGGCCCCTGACACTGAGGCTACTGACACTGGGGCCCCTGACACTGAGGCCCCTGACACTGAAGCCCCTGACACTGAGGCCACTGACACTGAGGCCCCTGACACTGAGGCTACTGACACTGGGGTTACTGACACTTGGGCCACTGACACTGAGGCGCCTGACACTGAGACCCCCTGACACTGAGGCCCCTGACACTGAGGCCACTGACACTGTGGCCCCTGACACTGAGGCCCCTGACACTGAGGCTACTGACACTGAGGCCTTGACACTGAGGCCACTAACACTGAGGCCCCTGACACTGAGGCTACTGACACTGAGGCCACTGACACTGAGGCCCCTGACACTGAGGCCCCTGACACTGAGGCTACTGACACTGGAGCTACTGACACTGGGGCCACTGACACTGAGGCCCCTGACACTGAAGCTACTGACACTGAGGCTACTGACACTGGGGCTACTGACACTGAGGCCACTGACACTGGGCCCACTGACACTGAGGCCCCTGACACTGAGGCTACTGACACTGAGGCTACTGACACTGAGGCTACTGACACTGGAGCTACTGACACTGGAGCTACTGACACTGGGGCCCGTGACACTGAGGCTACTGACACTGAGGCTACTGACACTGAGGCTACTGACACTGGAGCTACTGACACTGGAGCTACTGACACTGGGGCCACTGACATTGAGGCTACTGACACTGGGGCTACTGACACTGGGGCCACTGACACTGAGGCCCCTGACACTGAGGCTACTGACACTGGAGCTGCTGACACTGGGGCCCGTGACACTGAGGCTACTGACACTGGGGCTACTGACACTGAGGCCACTGACACTGGGGCCACTGACACTGAGGCCCCTGACACTGAGGCCCCTGACACTGAGGCTACTGACACTGGGGCTACTGACACTGGGGCCACTGACACTGAGGCCCCTGACACTGAGGCTACTGACACTGGAGCTACTGACACTGGGGCCAGTGACACTGAGGCTACTGACACTGGAGCTACTGACACTGAGGCCACTGACACTGGGGCCCCTGACACTGAGGCCCCTGAAACTGAGGCTACTGACACTGAGGCTACTGACACTGAGGCCCCTGACACTGGGGCCCCTGACACTGAGGCCACTGACACTGGGCCCCCTGACACTGAGGTCCCTGAAACTGAGGCTACTGACACTGAGGCTACTGACACTGAAGCCCCTGACACTGGGGCCCCTGACACTGAAGCCCCTGACACTGGGGCCCCTGACACTGAGGCCCCTGATACTGGGACCACTGATACTGGGGCCTCTGATATAGAGGCCCCTGATATAGAGGCCCTTGATATAGAGGCCCCTTATATAGAGGCCCCTGATATAGAGGCCCCTGATATAGAGGTCCCTGATATAGAGGCCCTTGATATAGAGGCCCCTGATATAGACGCCCCTGATATAGAGGCCCCTGATTTAGAGGTCCCTGATATAGAGGTCCCTGATATAGACGCCCCTGATATAGAGGCCCCTGATATAGAGGCTCCTGATATAGAGGTCCCTGATATAGAGGCCCTTTTTTGCAGGGATATTTCTGCGCGGGCCCTAAGCTTCTGTCTGGCCCACTAAGTTTTGCTTGTTTCTGTTTTACTTGGGCGGAGGATGAGTATTTATGACTCGTATGGTCGCTTCAGTAAGATTTTGCCATATGTGTTTAACAACTTCTTCTGCTCTGCTGAATCTAAGTTGAAATCTTCAAGGTATAGAGGCCCCTGATATAGAGGCCCCTGATATAGATGCCACTGATATAGAGGCCATTGATATAGAGGCCACTGATATAGAGGAAGCGGATATAGAGGCCACTGATACTGAGGCCACACAGTAGTTCCTCCACACTAGGCCACTGGGACACTACGCCTCAGAGGTATGAGGTACGAGGAAAGGCTAAAGGAGCTGAAGCCCACTTCCCTGGAAAACAGAGGAGTAAGAAAACATGATGACCACCTACAAAATTCTAAGGGGAATTGACAGGGTGGACAAAGACAAACTCTTCAGCACGGGTGGAACACGAACAAGGGGACACAGGTAGAAACAGAGTATCCACATGAGCCATAGACATTAGAAAGAACTTTTTCAGTGTCAGAGTAGTTAATAGGTAGAATGCATTAGGCAGTGATGTGGTGGAGGCTGACTCCATACACAGTTTCGAATGTAAATATAATAGAGCCCAGTAGCCTCAGGAATCTGTACACCAGTTGATTGACAGTTGAGAGGCGGGACCAAAGAGCAAAAGCTCAACCCCCGCAAGCACAACTCGTTGAGTACAACTAGGTGAGTACACTTTGTTTAAACACAATATTAGCAAGTTTTTCCTTCTTAATTGTTTATTCCCGTAAAGATGTTCATATTTGACGACACAGACAAGACTCCTTGAGTCCCCAGGATATGGGGCAGTTAATACACAGTCCCCAGGTAATGGTCTCCCAGTATATGGGGATGCTAGGACACAAGCATGACCTCCAGTCTTTAGTAAATAGTCAGGACAATTTGTTAATGTACTCAAAACTAATAGGTATATTTATCAAACTGGATTTTTAAAGTCTGTCGTGTCACGATGCACCACAGCATCGCTGGTAGCCTAGAACCTTCCAGAAATTATCAATAAGTCACCTGGCCTCAACAAGTTGTCTAGGGTAAGGCGAAAGTCCAGAAAAAATCCACCAGTTTACTGGGGCGAACTTATATACATGACACCACACTATATGCAACACATATCCACAACTACTAATACTAAAAACAACAAAAGTCTAAAAGGTAGCTATCGCTAGGCCACAATCACCTAACATTGGTACACTAGTCAACGTACGAATGGTTATAAAGTCATGAACATGGTGGGTAGGAACATATAATACCAGAGTGGGGTAAAGTCTCAGTATGGATATCAGCAACACCAAAGTCCTCTCCTGCCTGCAGAAACCTAAACCCCCTCGGGACTGACAAATGATAGTCTAAACTTGTCCCGAGAACATTTATTAGTTCTTATTATAATTTACTTAGAACTACCAAGATTTTTTAAAAACAAAACTACCAGCCTTCAACTGAATGCAGCTGATCCATGATATTTGAATAACATGGAAAATAGTATGTAAATTTCACATCATAAGTTTGACTGGAAAAATAAAATTTTTCTTTAAAATTGGAGCAAACGGACCCTTATGCTCTCTACGGTGATGGGACGGGTACTATGAGACCAACTATGGTACGTGAGGAAAAGTTGATGCCTGTTGATAGGAAATAACTGGAAATCTATAACAGATGAACTATGAACATTAGTAGGACAAGAACTATAAGCCTTTAGCCACATAGGTACTATGTTATAGCGAGAGAGGGTTGAGTGCCGATGCATTCACACAGGCTTTCATCAAGTTTTCTGCCTATCTATCCTGCCCCAAGTTGATGATCTCAGACAATGGATCCAACTTGGTGGCAGGGGAAGCAGGGGTGTCTGAGGGAAGTCTGGAATCAACCAGCGGTTCACACTGCTCTGAGTCAAAGGCAGTGCCACTGGAAGTTTATACCCCCAGAGCACCGTGTCATGAAGGTTTTTATGAGAGGATGGTGGGTACGATCAAACGTTGTCTTAGGAAAATCCTACACCGCCAAAAAATCGACCTCCAGGAGCTCTAAACCATTGTCACGGAAATTGAGTCTCGGGTCAATAACCAACCACTGACCTACCTTTCTGACGATCTCAGCATGAACCACAAAGTCATTTCATTTGATATATGGTGGACTTCTCAGCCTTCTAGCGTCTCTCACGGACGAGGGACCAGAAGATCCTTCATATGTCAGAGAGACTGATTTGGTTCAGCACTTTAAACATCTGTCACAAGTGATAGGTTGGTGGAATGGCGTATGGATTCATGAATACGTAACTGATTTGAGAGAGTATCATTACGGGGCAAACAACCATCAACAAAATTAACTTAAACCATGGTGATATTGTTCTGGTGGAGAGTGATGGACCATGATCAGAGTGGCCTATTTGCTGTCTAGTCTCTGTTCATCCAGACAACCAGGACATCTTGAGAATAGTTAAAGTAAAGTGCCGAGGCACCACTACTCTCAAAACCTTACAGAAACTAGTTCCTTTAGAGCTAGCAGGAAAAGAGGTCGCTCAAAGACTTCCAACACCTGCAGCTCCATTACGGGACATCTGCCTAGTAAGGACTACCATACAACAGTCTAAGCTAAAATTAAAACAGCATTATAATTCTGAAGGAGAGGAATGAAGTGTTCGGTAGTCCTAATTATTGGACTTAGACCTGCATTTCTCCCCCCCCCCTCTCGAATATGTAGGAAATTCCAACACTAGATACTAACATAATCAAATACTAACATGTTAAAGCCATAAGCTGTTGTTTTTTACATTAGTCAGTCATATAAGTAATATAAAGTATGGCAAATCCGTGACGTCATAGGAATACATTTATTTAACTCTACAAGTATTCTTTAAACTAATAGTCTTTTCTGTCATTAGAATTGATAGAAAAGTGTTTTCTATGCTTTAACTTAATGAAATATACTATAAACTTATGGGCTCCCTCCTATTGTCAAATAATACACAAATGGAACACTAATGGAAAGGCGTCCTTACAAGAGACGCCTCTCCGGGATGGAGCCAGCCGAGTCATTGAGAGTAAATAAAAGGGCTCCCTGCAAGGTTTAGCAAAATGCAGCACTGCAAAGGTCTCAAAATAGATTGGCCAACAGTGATCCAGCCCCAGCAATCTTATCATCAATAACAGGAAGAGCTGAGTATTTGACTATACCCCCATGTCTTTTATTAATATGTGGCCACTGTTAACTATTAGATACGTTAGTTGGTTAGGATGCCTGAGAACAACAAAACAAGGGATGAATCTCAATTCACGCATGCAACAAAATGCATGAATCTTAATTCATGCATGATACTTTCATTGATTACAATGTTATGCATTTGTTACTATATAAATATTCGGCAGGTAACCTTTGATGAAATGAAGAAATCCCAGAGAGCTTTAACACCTACATAACCTGTACAAACACTTCCTTGCTGTCATTACCCTCAGTCCACGATGGACTGCATGTGGCCAACCAGTCTGAGATTGGAGGACCAGCTCTCACATAACCATTCAGCTGAGACCACTGATTAACATAAATTAACCCACTCTTAGTTGTAATACTAACCCAATTTAATAGTAAAACATTATTTTGTAGTTGATTTATATCCACTATTTGTGGTATATGCTATAATATAACCCCCCAACTTGTGTACAGGAAAGCACCTAACAGGATAACTTAAAATACAGTCCACTTTGAAGTAATAACTATAAATTTAAAATTCAATAAATTAAAATATATATAAAGTAAATTACTAAATCATCAATATTTGTATAAATTAAAAAAAAAACAATTAAATGCCTGCTAGGAAATATCACACACGCGAAAGCTCATGGTGTAACTGCACCTGCAAAATAATGGGGTTAGAGGCAGAAAGAATTGGATATAATTTCTATTTTTACTACACCACCAACCTCCCTTATTTTATTAAGATGCAGGTACGAAGCTCTATCTTATTCAGCCCGTCCTCCAAAAATGGGGAGGTAAATGTAACAGCACGAGGAAGGGCAATTATGTGCTTCTCATAGCAGTCAGGAATTGTACTTATTTTCACTTAGCATTAAACCGTATTGTCAAATATATTGTGAATATTTGAGTTTATCTGAAAAGCTGAATAGAAAACCCCGACCTTATCTAACCTTCTTAGTGTTTGAAGATAAGCATTTTAATGCTTCTTAATTACAATTAGTACTTAACCTATAGCTATATTGATTTTACAGTTTTATATAACTAATGAAACAAAATTAAAATATATCAATAAATTGTAAAGTAACTCAGAATATTTTCAAATTTTGTATAAAATCTCTATTGTTTAATAAAATTAAAAACAATCCTGATATTTAAAATTTGTGTATAGCACTTTGAATTTTCTTCAAACAGCAAAGCCTTCAACAACATTCACTTTGACCATGTCAACCAATGAACAACAGAAAATTCCGCCTTCCTCCACAACACCCCCTTGATAGACCGGACAACCATAGAAGACGATCACCCATTAACAAGACCCATAACTGTGGTAGAGATGAGAGGAGTCATTAAAAACATCCGAGAAAAGGCCCCAGGACCATCGGGGAGATCAAACTCCTACCAGGCAATCTTCTGCAATCCCTAGTCAACCTATTCAACGCCATGCTGGCATCTGGTCACATTCCTGTAGCTTTCAAGTCAGCCAAGATGATATTCATTCCCAAACCCAAGAAAGACCCCCACCAACCTGGCAACTACCGTCCAATCTCCCTCTTAGACACAATAGGCAAGTGCTTTGAAAAAATCATGTCAAACCGTCTCAACTACTACATGGAGTACAACAACCTCTTCACAGAAAAACAGTTTGGCTTTCGAGCATAAAGGTCAACCCAGCACGCAATAAACATCATCTACGATGCTGTAAGCTCAATTCGCCAGCAAAAACAGGTAGCTCTGATTGCGATAAGAGACGTACAAAAGGCCTTCGATAGCCTATGGCACGATGGTCTCGTGTACAAATTAGCAGACTTACCAGCCCAAAACTGGACCCTCCTCAGGCTGATCAGAAATTTCCTAAAGAACAGACAAGTTACCCCCAGTTTCAAGGCTAAAGAGGCAGCAGCCTTCACCCTAACAGCTGGAGTCCCCCAAGGCTTGAGCCCGGTCCTCTTCAACATTTTTGTAAATGACCTGCCCCAACCAGAGTATAGGGACACCATTATCATTCAATTTGCGGACGACGTAACACACGTAATAACATCTAACCCAAGCAGCCAAGCATGCAACTGTAACCCGTAAGGCAAACGTAGAACTAGCCAGGACTGCTAACTAGGAAAGGAAATTGAGGATTACCACTAACCCAGAAAAGATTCAATTAAGCACTATCGGATGTATGGCCTTCTCAATCGAAAACGACTTGGGGGATAAGAATCAGTGGTGAACCCATAGCCATCTCAAACTCCAACTCAGTTCTCGGATACAACTTCAACTGGGTACTGAACTCCTCCCAGTACATATCCCAGAAGACAGCGATGGCCCGAAATTCTTTGTCGAGGCTCTTCCGCTTCAGACAAGCCCCATCCCACATCAAGCTCCACCTGTACAGAATGATCATAAAGCCTAGCCTGGAGTACCCTTACGTCCCCCTGAACCTCACCAACAAAACCAACATGCTGAAGATCCAACGGGTACAAAATAAAGCACTTCGCTTTGCGGCGGGCCTGTCGCTGGCGGACAGGGAAAGAAGAGACCAAATCCATGAGACACTCAACATGATGCCAATGAACATCAGGCTCAGCTACCTGGCCAGAAGGCAGCTGTACCGCATGAAGCACATGTATGTCCAAGACCGCGAAGATCCCTACGAAGCAGTTAACACCACCAGTGACTACGAGATCCACGAATCACCACACAGAACAAGAAGAATCACTCTCCAACCAAAAGTGATCAGACACATCCATGATCAGGCCTTCCCGAGACCTCAAATATTAAGTGACCTGCCAGACGACCCAGATGAATGACCCATCCCGGACCCGATCTACACTTACTGAAGAATAAAAAAATACATAAATAAATAATTAAATAAATAAAACTACTAAAAAAATGTATAAATAAAAAAACCTTTTTTGTGCTACCAGAAGTGTAAGTACCCTGGATGTTGCTAAGATTAATCTCCTTCAGCCAACTCCATCGGCTCTAGGGCTTCCAGACACCAGCAAGGTCACAAACACTAGCCCCCCCCAGCCAATGTACTGACAGCCCAACATAACACATACGCAAACAAACGACACACACACATGTCAACCCATTAAGGACAGGCCACCGAACTTTCAAACCTCCTCTCTCTCTACACCAGCATCCTCTTCTTGAATTTCACCTCCCCATCCCTCAACCTTCCCCATCCTTTCAAAACCCTTTGGACATTAAAGCGAAAGCGAACATTGAACTTGAATATATATATATATATATATATATATATATATATATATATATATATATATATATATATATATATATATATATATATATATATATATATATATATATATATATATATATATATATATATATATATATATATGTCGTACCTAGTAGCCAGAACGCACTTCTCAGCCTACCATGCAAGGCCCGATTTGCCTAATAAGCCAAGTTTTCATGAATTAATGTTTTTTCGACTACCTAACCTACCTAACCTAACCTAACCTAACTTTTTCGGCTACCTAACCGAACCTAACCTATAAATATAGGTCAGGTTAGGTTAGGTAGGGTTGGTTAGGTTCGGTCATATATCTACGTTAATTTTAACTCCAATAAAAAAAAATTGACGTCATACGTAATGAAATGGGTAGCTTTATCATTTCATAAGAAAAAAATTAAAGAAAATATATTAATTAAAGAAAACTTGGCTTATTTGGCAAATCGGGCCTTGCATAGTAGGCTGAAAAGTGAGTTCTGGCTACTAGGTACGACATATATATATATATATATATAAATATATATATATATATATATATATATATATATATATATATATATATATATATATATATATATATATATATATATATATATATATATGTCGTACCTAGTAGCCAGAACGCACTTCTCAGCCTACTACGCAAGGCCCAATTTGCCTAATAAGCCAAGTTTTCCTGAATTAATGTTTCTTCGTCTACCTAACCTACCTAACCTAACCTAACCTAGCTTTTTTTGGCAACCTAACCTAACCTTACCTATAAATATAGGTTAGGTTAGGTTAGGTAGGGTAGGTTAGGTTCGGTCATATATCTACATTAATTTTAACTCCAATAAAAAAAATTGACTCATACATAGAGAAAAGGGTTGCTTTATCATTTCATAAGAAAAAAATTATAGTAAATATATTAATTCAGGAAAACTTGGCTTATTAGGCAAATCGGGCCTTGAATAGTAGGCTGAGAAGTGAGTTCTGGCTACTAGGTACGACATATATATATATATATATATATATATATATATATATATATATATATATATATATATATATATATATATATATATATATATATATATATATATATATATATATTATTAAATATGACCGAAAAAGTAAGATTAATAATTCTAACACGAATTTTCTCAATCTTTCGTACATTACGCTTCACTGTTGGAGGTAAATTAAAAATCAATTCTCCAAAGTTCATTTTTATTTCTAGTCTGACGCGACACGGGCGCGTTTCGTAAAACTTATTACATTTTCAAAGACTTTAGTTCACAAATACACAACTGAATAGAACTTACGTATCTCCGATTTTATATCTACATTTGAGTGAGGTGGAAGGGGTGATGTGGCATTAACACAAGACAGAACAAAATGTGGTATTAATAGGGTATTAATTTCATCAACACAAGACAGAACAAGGGTATTAATAGGGTATTAATTTCATCAACACAAGACAGAACACGAAACAATGGATATTGAATAGAAGTGTTTGTAGAAAGCCTATTGGTCCATATTTCTTGATGCTTCTATATTGGAGCGGAGTCTTGAGGTGGGTAGAATGTAGTTGTGCAATAATTGGCTGTTGATTGCTGGAGCAGCAATGGTCAAAAAGTTTTGACCATCGAGCAAAAAGTCATAGTCGACATGAACTTGAAACCGGCCATATACTGCAGGTATGTTGACGACATTTTTACACAGGTACCTGATGTCAGACATCTACAGGAGCTGAAGGAGGCATTTGAGCAGAGTTCCGTGCTGCGTTTCACTTACGAGACGGAAAAGGATGGGAAGCTGCCTTTTCTAGATGTAACAGTCATGGAAAAGGGCGGAGGTTTCCACACTGCAGTCTACACTAAGGAAACAAACATAGGAATGTGCCTAAATGCCAACAGCGACTGCCCTGACAGGTACAAGAGGAGTGTTGTTAACGCATACGTCGACCGTGCTCTCAGCCACAGCTCAGAATGGAAGCAAGTCGACGAAGAACTCTGTAGGGTAAGGCAGGTCCTAGTCAATAACGGCTTCTCCAATGGTTTCATCGAAGACATCATAAGAAGGAAAGTGAAAAGCCATGCAACCTCTGAAGAGACAACTAACACAACACCTATACCCCCTATTAGACTATTTTACAGGAACTTCTTTTCCACAGCTCATAAAACGGAGGAAAGGGTCCTGAAAGATATTGTTAATAGAAACGTTATCCCTACAGACAAAAATCAGAGGATACAACTGACGATTTACTATAAAACCAGAAAAACGGCCAGCCTACTCATGAGAAACTCTCCAGACACAAAACAGAACGCTTTAAAAGAGACTAACGTCGTCTATGCCTTCAAATGCCCACTTGGGGACTGTAAGCTCCAAAAAACCCAGTATATAGGCAAGACAACAACATCTCTTTCTAGGCGTTTAACGATGCATAAGCAACAGGGCTCCATTAAGGAACATATAATCTCTTCCCATAACCAAACCATCGCCAGAGAAATCCTAGTAAACAACACAGAAATCATCGATAGATAAGGCGGCTTGACGTTTGCGAGGCACTACACATCAAGAAGTCAACACCAGCAATCAACAGCCAATTATTGCACAACTATATTCTACCCACCTCAAGACTCCGCTCCAATATAGAAGCATCAAGAAATATGGACCAATAGGCTTTCTACAAACACTTCTATTCAATACCCATTGTTTGTGTTCTGTCTTGTGTTGATACTTTTAATACCCAATTAATATCCCCTCTTGTTCTGTCTTGTGTTAATGCCACATCACCCCTCCCACCTCACTCAAATGTAGATATAAAATCAGAGATACGTAAGTTCTAATCAGTTGTGTATTTGTGAAGTCTTTGAAAATGTAATAAGTTTTACGAAACGCGCCCGTGTCGCGTCAGACTAGAAATAAAAATGAATTTTGGAGAAGTGATTTTTGATTTACCTCCAACAGTGAAGCGTAATGTACGAAAGATTGAGAAAATTCGTGTTAGAATTATTAATCTTACTTTTTCGGTCATATTTAATAATATATGTCTACAGGAAAGACTGCTACCAAAATATACTAATATATGTATATATATATATATATATATATATATATATATATATATATATATATATATATATATATATATATATATATATATATATATATATATATATGTCGTACCTAGTAGCCAGAACGCACTTCTCAGCCTACTATGCAAGGCCCGATTTGCCTAATAAGCCAAGTTTTCATGAATTAATGATTTTTCGACTACCTAACCTAATCTAACCTTACTTTTTCGGCTACCTAACCTAACCTAACCTATAAAGATAGGTTAGGTTAGGTTAGGTATGGTTGGTTAGGTTCGGTCATATATCTACGTTAATTTTAACTCCTATAAAAAAAACTGACCTCATACATAATGAAATGGGTAGCTTTATCATTTCATAAGAAAAAAATTAGAGAATATATATATATATATATATATATATATATATATATATATATATATATATATATATATATATATATATATATGTATATATATATATATATATATATATATAATCCTTGGACAACACCCACCAGTGGGCCTCGAACCCAGAAAGCACAACTACCTTTCAGTAGCTGCCATAACTAGTACGCCTTAACCCACTACACCATTAGATCCTACAGAAGAAGTAGAGACTTCGAGATATATATACACCTCAAATATCTCCACTTCCCGAGGGCACTAGACAAGTGAGAGGTTACTCTGCGTTTTTCATCAAGTCACTGTCAATGTGAGAGAACTCGTGTCCATGCTATACGCCTATACTTGCATAAACCACAAGTGAAGATTAACAATCTTTGGACAACACCCACCAGTGGGCCTCGAACCCAGAAAGCACAACTACCTTTCAGTAGCTGCCATAACTAGTACGCCTTAACCCACTACACCATTAGATCCTACAGAAGAAGTAGAGACTTCGAGATATATATACACCTCAAATATCTCCACTTCCCGAGGGCACTAGACAAGTGAGAGGTTACTCTGCGTTTTTCATTAAGCCACTGTCAATGTGAGAGAACTCGTGTCCATGCTATAAGCCTATACTTGCATAAACCACAAGTGAAGATTAACAATCTTTGGACAACACCCACCAGTGGGCCTCGAACCCAAAAAGCACAACTACCTTCCAGTAGCTGCCATAACTAGTACGCCTTAACCCACTACACCATCAGACCCTACAAAAGAAGTAGAGACTTCGAGACTTGTCCAAAGATTGTTAATCTTCACTTGTGGTTTATGCAAGTATAGGCTTATAGCATGGACATGAGTTCTCTCACATTGACAGTGGCTTGATGAAAAACGCAGAGTAACCTCTCACTTGTCTAGTGCCCTCGGGAAGTGGAGATATTTGAGGTGTATATATATCTC